AGAGATGCTGAGGATAAGAAACACCTCAGATATGTTACCCCACTAACCAGCACACTGATGGTCTGTCTACATCTCTGTCTCCTCTGTTAGCATATAAACCACATGAGGGCAGAGAGAGAGCCTGATTCACCGTTGTATTCCAAGCATCTTACACAGTGCCTGGCATATAGTATATATTTAATAAATGTTCGTACAATAAATGAATAAATGGGAGGGAAGGAACTAGAGATAAATTAATACTGTATGTAATAAGTCTAAATTGACCTTCCCAAGGCAACATTCAGAGTACTTGCTCCCACAAGTAGTAGGCATGAGCTTTGGGAAGACTCATAGGGTAGATTATTTTTAATTAAGAATGGCCTGTAAAATCCAGAATGTGAGATCTCTGTGGCTACAGGAGCCCAGAGGAAGGAGTGAAAATCCATAGAGATTACCAGGCCCAGGTCAAGCTGGGAGTCAACATCCCCTACACAGCAACACTCTGAGAGCCCAGGTTTGGGTGGAAGGACTGTACTGATCCTAGGTAAGCAAGCATCTGCTGTGTGACACATATCTTATGTAGATTTCACATTTAATTAAGCATCTAATTTCTTCCTTACAATTGACTTACTAGGAACGTTTTAGGAACAAAGAAACTTATGTTCAAAGAGATTCAATAAACCACCCAAGGTCATATGGCTGAGAAGCACAGGATAAAGGATCAGGATTTGCGCCCAGTTCCAAAGTCCATGCTTCTTCCACAGTCCTGCCAGGGGCAAAGTGGAGGAGGGGACCAGGGAAAGGGCAGCCCTGGGGCCGGGTATCCTTATCCAGCTTGGTGGGGCAGCCCATAGGTACTGAGCTCTGGGCTCATGAGTCAATCTAGGGGTCCAAGTTGCTTTCTGGCGTTTGCTCTGACATAAGGGTTGGCCAGGGTAGGAGCCACCGAACTCCCACAGCCTTCATCACTGCATCACGAACACGGGCGCTCTGACGTGTTCCAGCTGACGTTGGTGTCTGGAGTGACAGATGCCCTGGCTGCTGGCAGGGGAGGGGGCGGATCCCGCTGCCGCCTAAATCTCTGGGGGCTGGCACAACCCCCAAGCCTCCCCCGCCGACCCTTTGGAGACCTGCCCGGCTGGGAACGGCGGCCCGCGTCCCCCGCACGTGCGTCCGCAGGGCGGAGAGCGGGGACTGCGCGACGCCGGACTACAAGTCCCACAGTGCCCCGGGCGGCGGGGCAGGCGGGGAAGGGGGGGAGCTTCAGGTGTCTGCGACCTCGGCGCCTCCCTCCCGGAAGTGCCCGAGGGGCCGCGATGGAGCTGGCGGAGCCCGGCGGTGAGTCCCCACGCCGTGGCCGCGCCCACCCCGCCGCCCCGGACCCCGGCCGGCCCCGCTCGCCCCGCCCCGGGATCGCCCTTGCCCTCCCGCGGCTCTGGGGGGCGGGGAGCCGGGAGACGTGATGGAGGAGTGGGGGTGGGGAGGGGTCCGGCCGCCGCGGGCTGGGGTTGGTGGGGACCGGGAGGCGCCCAGGTGGGTGGGTGGCAACGCTCGGAGGCTTAGGATCGCCCGAGGGCGGAGTTTGACGTTTGGGGCGGAGGAAGCTTTGGGAAGCGGTCCCCTGCCAGTGGGGTTTGAGCAAATGGTAACGGGGGAGGGGGCGATAGAGGACATTTCCCCCCTCGCCCCGCCCCGGGATCGCCTTTGCCCTCCCGCGGCTCTGGGGGGCGGGGAGCCGGGAGACGTGATGGAGGAGTGGGGGTGGGGAGGGGTCCGGCCGCCGCGGGCTGGGGTTGGTGGGGACCGGGAGGCGCCCAGGTGGGTGGGTGGCAACGCTCGGAGGCTTAGGATCGCCCGAGGGCGGAGTTTGACGTTTGGGGCGGAGGAAGCTTTGGGAAGCGGTCCCCTGCCAGTGGGGTTTGAGCAAATGGTAACGGGGGAGGGGGCGATAGAGGACATTTCCCCCACCCTGAGAAACTTTAACGACGAAGGAGTGGGTGAGCTTTGGGGTGAAGTAGGTGAAGAAGTACATAAACTTTGGGGTGAAGTGCACAGAGGAATAGCTAAGCTTCGGGGTGAAGTCTGGTGGGGGTTAAGTTTAGGGGAGGGGTTACTTAGAAGGTCAAGGCTCTGACTTGTACATAGGGTTTTGGTGAATTGGAGAGCTAGTTAAAGACCCAGAATTCAGGTTACGGAAAGTTAGGATTTGGGATTTGGTGATGGGAAGGGGCACAAGGTAGCAAGCTTGGGGCGACTGGGAGTCAGAGCTGTGTGTACTCTGGGGTGGGTAAGGGGACAGAGGAGTTAGGACTGTGGGAGAGCTGGGGTGGGGTCAGTAGTCTGCTGAAGTGCCCAGGGTTCCTGGCCAAAGAGCCAGTGCCTCACGGGTTCTTTGTGCTTCTCCAGCTCGGTAGCACGGTGGGCAAGGCAGGTGCCATGGCCCTGATTGAAGGGGTGGGTGATGAGGTGACCGTCCTTTTCTCGGTGCTTGCCTGCCTTCTGGTGCTGGCCCTCGCCTGGGTCTCAACACACACTGCTGAGGGCGCCGACCCACTGCCCCAGCCATCAGGGACCCCAGCACCAGCACAGCCCAGCGAAGCCATGGCAGCCACCGACAGCATCAGAGGGGAGGCCCCAGGGGCCGAGACCCCGAGCCTGAGATACAGAGGTCAAGCTGCACAGCCGGAGCCTGGCACAGGGGTCACAGCAACACCGCCACCCCCAGACTCCCCACAGGAGCCCCTAGTGCTACGGCTGAAATTCCTCAACGATTCAGAGCAGGTGGCCAGAGCCTGGCCCCACGACACCATTGGCTCCTTGAAAAGGTAAGCAGGGAAGAGGGCAGAAACGAAACGCTGAAGAGTGGGGTGGGAGCAGTCACTGAAGGGGCACAAGAGATACCTGACAGTCCCACTCATTTTACGTTTAGGGAGCTGAGCAGCCCGCACGGCACACTGTACTTAAACAAGTTCCCCAGAGGCCACAGCCTGGGTGGTGTGTGGAAGGCAGGGGTGAGGGGTGGGGGTGTTGCTCTGGGCAAGGGACTAGAATTGCCTGAGGCCTGCTCTCTTACCCAGGTCCCTCTCTCCTCAGGACCCAGTTTCCCGGCCGGGAACAGCAGGTGCGACTCATCTACCAAGGGCAGCTGCTAGGAGACGACACCCAGACGCTGGGCAGCCTTCACCTCCCTCCCCACTGCGTTCTCCACTGCCACGTGTCCACGAGGGCGGGTCCCCCACATGCCCCCTGCCCCCCGGGGTCAGAGCCAGGCCCCTCCGGGCTGGAAATAGGCAGCCTGCTGTTGCCCCTGCTGCTCTTGATGCTGCTACTGCTCTGGTACTGCCAGATCCAGTACCGGCCCTTCTTCCCCCTGACCGCCACTCTGGGCCTGGCCGGCTTCACCCTGCTCCTCAGTCTCCTGGCCTTTGCCATGTACCGCCCGTAGTGCCTCCACGGGCTCTTGGCAGTGTCGCTAGCCCCTCTGGACCTTGCTCGCCACGACGTGGTGGGAGCTGCTGTCTGCCCGGGCCTGGCTCTCCAGCCTGCCTCTTCCCGCTACCCTGGAGCCCGGCTCTGCGCCGCAGAGGACTCCGGGGGCTGGCGGAGGTCCCTCCCTGTGACCTCCATGGCTCCGGGCCACCTCCTGGGGCTGCTGGCCCTCAGCCGCCACTGACAGTCAGCTCCTCGGGGTCAGGAACCTGCTGTCGCTGCCTTGGCCCTGGGCAGAGCCAGGCCACCCCGCTGGGTCCGTCTTAGTGTTCTGCCTGAGAATCCTGCCACCTCTAGTTCCTAACACCTTGGGCTGCTTTGGGGACTCAGGGACTGTGGGAGGCCACTGAAGGGGAGCTGGGAAGGGCAGAGGAGTTCTCTGGAACGTGTGCAGATTAAAGTAACTGTGAAGTTTTCACTTTTGGTGTGCGTCTGAGTGTGTGGGGCCAGGGGACGGGGAGCCCTTGCCCACTGGGAGAAAAAGAAGCGAAGGGCACGGAACGGGCGCTCCCGACGTGCCACCTGCCCAGGCCTGCAGCTCTGACTTCCTTTTCCCCTCGGTCCCACCTCTACTTCAGCGGCGGACTCTGGGGCCCCGCCCCCTCGACCTGGCCCCGCCCCCGGAGCCGCGCGCGCACTTCCCGGAAGCTGGGGGCGGGGCTCGCGGCGCCCTGG